CTAGATTTCCAACATGGGTAATCTATCTTGTCAGATTCCATATTGCCTCCTCATTTACAGCTCTAATTTTTCGGTTTCCTCTTTATTTCTGGTACCCAGGTATTTCTCTTTCTTTGCTTCTTTCTTTCTCACATGCTGAGTAATACTTTTTAAACATCTTTGTTATATTTTACCTATCTCTAAGTATTTATATTTAGAGAATTTCAAGTTATCTTGGTCCATACCTCTTCAGGGATACATATCAGGGCCATTTCCCTGCTTACCAGGGATACTTATCAGGGCAAAGAGAAAGGTGTACATTCTGACATGGGCATTCAAGAAGAACAGATAAATACCATATGTGTATATATGTATGTGCATATTTGTGTATGTATTTGGTAAGTATCTGAAACAAACCTAACCACTGTCACCTTCTTCAGTTTGATAATTCAGCATTCTGCATTAGTCTTTGGATATTAACTGAAGATTACTAATTTTAAACACTACCAAGGAGTAACAAGTTACAGCTAAATTCCATTTCTTGTTAAGCTGCTCATTTAGGAACTATTTGACAGGTCAAAATATTTTCATTATTTTTAATAGGTTGTAGGAAAATCTGACTCAATGGCTACTGTCTCAGATGAAGAACTATACTGAGCCACCTATTATGTCACAGTGGGAAGAAAACATAGGCTTTGGGGTGACAAAGACTAGGTTTGAATTCTAATTTTTGCACTTTTTTAAAAAAAATTTTATTTATTTATTTGATAGAGAGAGAGATCACAAGTAGGCAGAGCGGGGAGGGAAGCAGAGAGAGGGGGGCGGAGCAGGCTCCCTGCTGAGCAGAGAGCCCAATGTGAGGCTTGATCCCAGGACCCTGGGATCATGATCTGAGCCGAAGGCAGAGGCTTTAACCCACTGAGCCACCCACGTGCCCCTAATTTTTGCACTTCTTAACAAGTCATTATAATACTCAGGTAAGAAATATGTGTGGATAAACATTACTAGTTTGACTACTTAGAGGCTCCACAACTTCAGGGATATACCTGTTGAGCACTGAAAATTCCATTCATTCATCTAACAAAAATGTATTTATGCTTGCCATATGTAAGATGGTATCCTAGATGCCATAGGGAATAGAAAGACATATCAAATGGATTCTTTTCCCTCAACTCACAGCCCAGGTAGGGAACAGTGAGACAAATATATAAATGTGAGTGTAGCACAAAGCAGTATGAGAGTAAATGAAAGGCTCCAATGGAGGCTGTTCACTTCATTCTGAGCAATCCAGCTTCACATTTTGGTGTGGTGAGGAGTATTTTGATGCCAAATAACCCAAGCCACAGCCCAAGCAGCACCCCAGGTCTATTCCTGAACCTGATTATCCAGCTTTCTACTTCCACAAAACATACATGTATTTCTAGTCACTTTGTCTAATTTGTACACTCAGATTTAAGCAAGGGGATACTCCACAAGGACTATATTTGTAGGATGCAGGAGAAGTTCCAAGAGGTACATCTATAGACTCTGAGAACAAGTTTGTACATGAAATGTAAACCACAACACCTGGAATTTTCTTTTTTTTTTTTTAATTTTTTTTTTTAATTTTTTTTCAGTGTTACAGAATTCATTGTTTATGTACCACACCCAGTGCTCCATGCAATACGTGCCCTCCACAATACCCACCACCAGGCTCACCCATCCCCCAGCCCCCTCCCCTCTAAAACCTTCAGTTAGTTCCTCAGAGTCCACAGTCTCTCATGGTTCATCTCCCCCTCCAATTTCCCCCAAGTCCCTTCTCCTCCCCATCTCCCCATTTTCTTTTTAAAAATTTAATTGTATAGAATAATGTGGGGGAGATGCCTAAACAGTGTTCTGTAAGTCCCCAGATTGGAGATGACAGTAAACAGGACAGTTAGAAAAACAAATATAAAATTGACAAGACAGAAAAGAAGAAATGATAGCCGTTCACAAGCAACTACCAAACACATAAGTAGCTCTGACCATAATAAGTTTAGAAAAATTCATCCTGCGCCACATGCCTGAGCTAGCCCTTCTATTTGCGATAATCAGGGAGAGCTGTGAGCAGAGAAAAGAGCATTGGATTGCAGCCGGGAGGGGAGAAGAAACTGTCAGGAGACCTGTATTCAAGTCTAAGCTCTGCCACTTAATTGGTAGTTATGTATAAATCCTTTATCCTCCTATGATTTCAGTTTCTTCATCTTTATAGTAGCTCTTTTGTACATGTCAGTCTCTTATATTTCTAAAACTGTATGAAAAGCTGGTAGGATTTTTAATGACAGAGATGATGGAGCAGGAACTATTTCAGGTAGAAAGAGAGTGACATTATTTAAGGAACAAAAGGAAAATAATGCAAAATTTGAACACTGAACTCTTCCCAATAAGTTAGTAGGCTCCAAAAAATAATGATGAAGGTGATCCAAGCATGAGTATCCATGTCTTCCCTTAGCAAACTGTGGTCTGTCTCTGTATCCTCAGTGCTAGTGTGATGCCTAATATTAAAGGGGAGAGATGGGGAAGGAAGGAAGCAAGTTAGCTGCTTCAGGAAGTCTCTCACAACAGGTGCCACATTTTGTGGCAGAGATCCCTGGATTTAATGGCCTTTCATATCTGCAACAGTCTGTTTTAAAACAGAGCTGTTTACTTAGAATGCTTTTATTATCAACTATACTTATGTTCAAAGGGTTTCCAGCTGTGGTGGCTTTTAGAAGGTCCCTTTGTTGTGTGTACATAGTGTCATAATGTGTCATTTCTGACCAGCCAGTCGATTTCATTGACTCAGATGGGGCTGCTTTGTGGATGAGCTGTCTTCTTCCTCCTTAATTTCTACTGCAGACAATAAATATTTTATGCCTGGAAAGACAATTTATTTATTCAACAAATGCTTATTTAACACCTCCCCAAAACTAGGCAATGTGTGAAACACTTGGAATATAGAGGTGTATAATATAGACAAGGTCCCTGTCTTTATGATGCTTACAGTGTCATGGGAGAATCTCACATTAAGTAAATGATTATATGATAATTAATTAATTGCAACTGTGATAAATGTTTTAAAGGGAAAGTACGGAATATTATACAAGAAACCTAAACTAATTTGGAGGGATAGGGTCAAGAAAGTAATGTAAAATTAAAATTTTAGACATCCTAAGTATTTCTCCATTTGAAATACAGAAAGATAAAATTACTCCCATAGGTTATACTGATTATATTAGGGATTTCTGAATTTAGAAAGATAGACTTGTCCACAGAGGCATAAAATCCTTAGAAATCCAATCCTTTAATTTAATAAATGACTGAAAAGGGAGACATTATTTATCCAAGAACACACAGCTTGCTACTGGCAGGGATTGGACTTAAACACAGACCTGCTAATCCCCCCCATTACCTCTCCTCAGTGACTTAAAAAATAAAGACATTGTATATCAAATATAGATCAACCATGGCCAAACGAACTGTTAAGTGGCCACTGTGTACAAACTTGGATATTGAGTGGGAGAAAGAATTCAGAGTAATGAATTAAGCAAATGCTAATATAAATAGAAATGCACAAAATATGTCTTATCATGCTGATTGTATCTGGTCATAGTAAAACTTAATGTATATACCAAAGTGGGAAATACCCAGCTGGAATTAGTGAAAATATATTTAAAGGTATATGCTTCTATTTCTCTAAAATATAAATACTAATGGCTTCATGCAAGTCTCCAAGTAGAAGTTTTTAAAACCCATTTTTATTCATGTGTAATATTATACGACATGTAAATTATCCTTGAAAGCTTTGCAGCCTGAGTGGTCTCTCAGGTGGTTAAATATTGTTCCTGATATTGTGTTCCACCATATAATTCATATAGCATACCCTTTCATCATAGACAGTATAGCAGTTACCTTTCGGCCAGCAACTTATAATTCTTCCAAATTTTTTATTTCAAAGATTGGGAATCAATGAAATGTTACTATTTATATCATAGATTTTGGAATTAGATGACTCATTGCAACTAAAAAGAGATTGAAACTTCAGAGAGAAGCCCAGTCTTGAATAGGGATTATCAGTGAGAGCACCTAAGTATATATTGAATTGGGGATCCAAAAACTTAGAAAGTATTAGGTTAAGCCATATGAAATTTTCATTTTTAGAGGTCAAAAATAGTCAAATATTGGTGACTTTATATGATTCGCTCAGCTATTACACAAAATGGCCCAAAAGGAAACCTATATTCTAATGTCAACAGGTGTGGGTATTTATTAATTTAAGTACACATGTATTGGCTATACCTCAGAATTTAACAAATGAGAAATTCTGGTAGTTGAATGAACTCTTAATTTCATATGAAGTAACGATTTAAATGTAGGTGGATGGCACAATTTCTTCAGAAGCTAAAAATGTCTTAAAAGATCTTCAACTTGAATAACTGCTCATGAAATGTGGATGACTTAGCAGTTAGTTACTTAGTTCAGTAACCAGACTTTAGTGATATGATGTGGACTGTAGTCAACCAGGGTATTTTGCTTTCAGACTCTTATGCCAGCCATTACTTTCTAGTCCTTTACTCTCTCCCAGTCCTTTGCCCCAGTGGTGACAGGCTCTAAGCTTATCTCAGAAAAATCAGGATAAAAGAGGAAGGGAACTAATCATGGTGAAAATGAACTGTCACATGCTTTGCAAGACCGTGTATATATTATTGCATTAATTAATTCTCACAACAACCCTATGAAACAAATGCTATTTCTATTTTACAGTTGAAGAAACTGAGATCCGGAGAGGTTAAATGACTTGCCCAAAGTCACACAGTTTACACATGGTAGAGCTGGCTCCAGACATTCTTATTTCACTATCTACTGTGATACTGTTCTTGTTTGTTTGCTTATTTCTAACCTATATACTTTAGAAGTACCTTATTTCATTCTAATTCACACAAGAGTAAGACAAGGGGATTATCATTGTTTTCTTCTATTAAAAAAGTGATATAATAAAACACATTTGAATCTTTTCCTTTAAGGACGAACGTGAAGCCAGAGAAAATGTGAAGAGAGAGCAAGATGAGGCCTATCGCCTTTCACTTGAGGCTGACAGAGCAAAGGTAGGTTTGGTCAAAGGACTTCTAAGATAAAGAACACAATCCTAAACAGTCTTTTATTATTTAAGTGCCAGCCAGTCCTTCTATCACTTTGATCCCTAAGAGTGTTAGGTTTACAACAGAGAAAGCTAGATTCAGTTAACAGAATATAATTTTACCCTTGGTTCGTAAAGCATGGTTCATTTTGACAACACAAAGTTTTTTAAGAATCATGAATATGAAAACAAAAATGGGCCTAATATTAATTTCCTTGTTTTTTAATCCGCCTATGGTAAAAACCTAGCAGTGTTTTAAAAGCTCTTCAGGTGATTTCTGTGGTGTAGTCAAGGTTGAGAACATTGAGAACTACTGATTTAATATTTCTTGAGTACCTGCTCCTCTACTGTGCATTGAAGGAGGGAAAAATGAATAAGCCACAGTTTCTGCCCCCAAAAGAAAACTCACAATGTGGTGTAGAATAGATTAACTTAAGAACACAGTTAGCTATAATACTTATGCAAGGATTCTAGAAGTTGTAAGGGAAGCCCTGAGTTCTGTGGGAGATTAGTGAACAGGAGTTTCAGTGGAAAGTCTGTTCCAGCTTTTTTGGAGAGCTAATAAGTAGGAATCTGTTAAGGGAGGGTTTCATGGAAGAGATTGTATTAATGTGTACTAAATAGAGAAAAGGGGTAGGAGATAAGAGGTGATATATGCTAACAGCAAGGAGCCAGAAAGCATGGGTGTGTGATGGAAGCTGATGTGACTAGAGCTTGACACTTGGGTACAGGAGAAGTAGCAGAAAAGACCAAAAAGGAAGACCAGTGAAAGATCTTCTGATGGATCTTGACTGCCGTGCTACCCAGAGGTACCCAGGTGTTTGTGTGGGTACGCAACATTCCCTTTCCATTCTTGTTCCAGAAAAAAAACACTTTTTAGTATCACAGTGCTGGGAATGAGCTCTTTTTTTTACCCCCTTTCTCCTTTATAAGTAAACCAGTGTTTATTGAGTGCTGGCTCCCTTTCTCTTTTATTGACAGAGGGAAGCTCATGAGAGGGAGATGGCAGAACAGTTTCGTTTGGAGCAGATTCGCAAAGAACAAGAAGAGGAACGTGAGGTAGGGCATTAATTTCAAGTAACGTTATTCATAAGCTAGGTTTATTTCCACTACAGTCGATATTGAGGCTGTTAATATTTCTCATGACTTCTTTCCACTTTTTCCAGATTCATTTTAGTATGGAAAACCTAAGCTTTCCTTAAAGGAATCATTCCTGCTCTTGTTGTGTGGAACTCTTAGAAAGCTTGACCTTGTACTAGATTCATTGTTTTCTGTTCTTTTCAATTCCTTTTCCCTTTTCTTGCATGACCAATGCTCTCATCCTTCCTGGATATTGTTTCATCCCGAGAATACAAAGACTGTATTTTCCCCACCAAAAAACACCATGAGTTACTTCCATGACATCTTGCACTGGGCCCCTATATATGGGGAATCCATTCAGCATGGTTTTTTTGAATACTTACTACATCCCAAAATCTTTTAGGGGGTTGGGCTACAGACGTGTGTTGTCCCCACCAAGAGTTCATAGTCTTGTAAAAATAGAATTACAGGGGTGCCTGGGTGGCTCAGTGGTTAAGCCTTCATCTCAGGTCATGATCCCAGGATCCTGGGATCCAGCCCTGCATCAGGCTCTGTGCTCAGCAGGCAGCCTGCTTTTCCCTCTCCCACTCCCCCTGCTCTTGTGTTCCCTCCCCATCTCTGTCAAATAAATAAATAAAATCTTAAAAAAAAAAATTACAAAACTATGTGTAAAAGTTGTAATAGAGATTTATCTAAAGTGCAACGTGAACAAAGAAAAGGAGTGTTGACTAGCTTCCTAGGATGGTTTCACAAAAAAGGACTTTTAGAACTTTTTCTAGATATGGGATTAATAGCAAGATTTACTCATAAAAAGAGAAAGCCATCTAACAAGTGATGGAAAGGCCTGAAGGGCCTTAACTTGAGCTGAGGAAAACTCCGTTAGTCATCATTCCTGGTCAGAGGATGTTTTTGAACAAGAACTATGCTAAGCACTGGAAGAGAAACAGGAAATAATAAAACAGTTTCTGCCTACAAGAAGCGATTGCATCTTATAAAGAAGATATGACATGTCTACAAGTAATAGCAGATCAAGAAAAACTGTGCCAAATAACATAGAAGTAAAAGCAAAATACTTAGAGAGTTCACTGGCAAAGTAAAATCTGTGAAGCTTTGAGAAACAGATCATATATAGAAGAAGTGACATTTGAGCCAGGTCTTGAAAGATGTGTAATATTTCATGGTTTGGAAATCAAAGTTTATGCATATTCAGACACATTATTGAGTGTCTATCACATAAATACAAGATACTATTCCTGACAGACCCTAGCCTCTGTACACTGAGGACCCTCAATAATGGAAGGTAGAAAACATTTTATTGAGCATCTTCTATGTGTCAAGTACTTTTCTAGCCTCTTTACATACGCTTAGTCATTGACCATTAAAACAAGCTACAAGGTTAGAGACTGCAGGTGAGAAAACTGAAGGTCATTGAGAAGTCACACATAGAAATGGAAAAACAGCTGAGATTCTTACCTAGGTCTTTATGAGTCCAAACCACATGTTTTACTAACTCTGTTCCAGTACAAGGTCATAATCACTGTTTGTGTCTATAGGAATCATGTTTGCAGAGTTTCAAAAAAGTTGAGACAGTTTTGTCACTATGCTTTTAGGTTATTTCAAGAAATAGTTTAAAAATTTAGGACTCTCGTTCTTTCTTGCTCTTTTACAATGCACATGCTCTCTCTCAATAGTGTGTCTTCAACCACATACTTGATAAATGTAAGGTATGCACAATTAACTGCATGTTCTGGATCTAGAGCTTGATAGTACATGTACTTTCTTCTGATGATTTACCTTATTTACCCTGGGCTAAAATTTTTTCTCTTTCCCAGTATAGATAAAGCCTGTCTTCTCATAGAAGACCCCATAAACATCCTTTAGCATACCTCAATATATATGTTCCAGCTGTAAACATGTGAGAGCGTGGGGCACAGAGCGAGGGGGAGAAAATTTGGGTTTTGCAATTAGTCATTATTGCACTTATCTACTGATGTGCTCCCAAAGAAAACCAAGTTCAGGTAGTGCTCCATATTTTTTCTACCCACACTCCCCCGGAGAGTCACAATTAAAGACTCTTATAAATCCCATCATTAAGAAACTATTTATCTTCTGTGTATCTTGATTTAATTAAGTCTTATCCAAACTTATTTGACCCTTTTTTTCATGGAGCACCAATTAACATATCTCTGCACACTCATGTACAACAAACAGTTCTTTGGGAAAGCTGGTATTATGCAACCTCTGAAGAAACTGAGACTCAGAAAGATTATACAGTTTGCCTATGGTCACCAAACTGGTTGGACACATAATCTGGACTAGAAGTCTGGTCACCTGACTTTTCACAGTAATACTGCCTCTCCTTCTAACCAGAAATCCTAACCCATATAATTCTATTGAGAAACAAGAATGGTTTTATTATCTTAATTATCTCTAGTATTTCAAAGTCCTTTGGAAAGATGAAGTATTGAGTAGTCAGATCACCTTGGTTACAGGGAAATTCCTTAGTGGTTGGTTTTTGCTGTGTGGTAACTGTTGTAGTGAAATCAGTAAATTTAGGAAGACATTTTGATCTGGTCCTTCACTTTGATAAGGAGAGACTTTAAAACTATTCTGGGGGCGCCTGGGTGGCTCAGTGGTTAAAGCCTCTGCCTTCAGCTCAGGTCATGATCTCAGGTCCCGCATCAGGCTCTCTGCTCAGCAGGGAGCCTGCCTCCTCCTCCTGTCTCTCTCTGCCTGCCTCTCTGCCTACTTGTGATCTGTCTGTCAAAAAAAAAAAAAAAAAAAAAAAACTATTCTGAAGGAAAAACAAAGGATTAAAAAACTCCTGTATCTTACTAATTTATTTATTTACTTGTTCTTTCCAAAATGAGTTTCAAGTAATTTGCATGAAGATGTGCAATTCAGATGGATTAAAAAAGAAAGAAAAGATAGAATAATCAGATAAAGGAAAATAAAACCAAAAGTAAGATTAACATTTTGACAACATACAATCCAGCACACCCACCAAATGCATGTATAGGATTCTGTACATTTGCTCAAGATGGACCACAAAATTTGTTCTATGCTTCTCTTGGACTAAAATAATTGTCTATAAGTTTCACTGTCTGTAACATCAGAAAAAGGCCAGTCCCTCAAAAGGTGAGATTTTTCAAGCACTGAGACCTTCAAGCAATGTTTCCTATGGTTGGGTTCCCCCTCAAGAGGAAATTGTGCAATATGGTAAATACTATCCCCAAGGATATTTAATAGCTGTAATAGCAAAAGCACGTCATGTATAACAGCTTATAGTTTTATATAATTCAAAGTCCTAAGGCCAGAGAACAATTTAGTAAAAGCATCTCTGCAAAGACCCAAATAATATATTTTTTGGTAGTCCAGGTTAAAGGATAGATTTTATAATAACTAGAGAAATACATGAACTACATATTCTTTCTTGAAATTGTTTTTTGCCACCAAATTTTTAGTAAGTACAGGTTTCAGCTAAGATTTTTGACTCCCAAGTCTTTTAATCAGTCAGTATTTGCAAATATTTGTTAACCTCTTTCTATGTGCAAATCACTAAATCAGGTGCTATGGCTACTATATTGTATGCGACATAGCCCCGCCCTCAGGGAGGTCACTGTCTAATACAGGAGGGTAGATGAATACAAAATATCTATAGGAAAAGATACTATATGTCATAAAAACCATTAAGATAGCACAGAGTGTTGAAAATATTTGGGTGAGGATGATCTCTGATGAGGAAGGCAACAAGAAATTCACAGAGGGAAGAGGCTTTAAAAGACTGATGCAACTTTTATGGTTAAAGATGAAGTATAAGAACATTTTGGATGGAGTCATGAGTAAACAGATGGTTGAATGTATGGGAAAGGGTAGGCATGGGCTGGGTAATATGAATAAAAAGAGAAATGTACAAGGTTTCTTTTTTTTTTTCTTTCAAGATTTTATTTATTCATTTGACAGAGATCACAAGTAGGCAGAGAGGCAGGCAGAGAGAGAGGAAGGGAAGCAGGCTCCCCGCCAAGCAGAGAGCCCGACGCAGGGCTCGCTCCCAGGACCCCAAGATCTCAGCTTGAGCCGAAGGCAGAGGCTTTGACCCACCGAGCCACCCAGGCATCCCAGGTACAAGGTTTCTTTAGGGAATAACAAATGGCCAATTGAGAACCCTGTGTAATAATTAGATAATGTTAAAAAGGCCAAGTTTTAGGGACTTATGGGTGAGAGAGAATAGGCACAAAGCTATTCCCTTTTGTTACTGGTTCCCTCAAAAAGAAAAGAAGAAGGTTACATGTTTGCCTATCTGGAAAAAGTTTTCTTTTGGTGCCTCCTCAAATAGATAATGCTAAATAATTTTAAAATACCATTAAATGAGAGAAAAAAGAGCGTGGAATTATAAGCCTTGGTACTTCCCTTTAGTTTTCTGATTTAATCTTCATAGCCATCCTATAAAACTCACTTGAGATAGTATCATCACTGTCTTACAGATGAAGAAATCATCACAGCAGGATTAAAAATCCTATTTTAAAATTCTTACCTAACATTTGCCTGGTAAAAGCAGAATCAGAACTCCCACTGGCATTCTTTCTACCTGTTATCCCAGATGAAGATGAAGGTGGGAACATGAATAGATTATTAAAGTGAAAAACTGCTCCTTATAATTTGTGTTTTTATATTATATAAGTGGCTTCATGTCACACCAGATAACACCACTACATGAGCCATAAAGGTAATCATCCCTGTCATCATCATCATCACCATTCCTAGCTATTAAACAATTAATCTGTGCTAAACTCTGTGCTGAGCACTTTACAGACATTATCTTATTGAATCTCTACAACAACATAATAAGGTAGGTTATTCAATACATGAATATACCTTATTATAACTATAAAGACCATATATCCAAAATTTCTTAGATAGTTTCAATTTGGAATATTCTTTTGTTGTTTACATAAACCATTAAAACAGTACTAGATATT